TCTGAGACCGAAGATGCTATGTTTTTGTCGACGTTGGCAATTGTTTTTTGTAGTGAAAACGTGCTTAGCGTGTGTACCATTACGATTAAAACATTTTTTGCCCATTTTTATACTTAGCAGTATATAATGAATAAAATCGAACGCTTTCACAAGGACGCGTAATCTTTTCCGCTCAAAATAAAACTTCCTTTATCTCAGGCGCTTTACTTAAAAAATGTGCCGTAGTTGCTAGTAGTGATATTTTTCAGAAGAACGCTGTTCAACTTTATTTTAGAATGTCCGAAAAATATTTACTAATTTTTAATTCAATTTAATTATTAATCGAGCCGATTCCAGCGAAGATTAACGATAAAAAAATTCCGGCAAACTCGCGCAAAAGATATTTTTGTTTCAATAATTCCATATCCAAATAGAATTCAACGGACGATTCGCTATGCTAATTTTATAATAAATCGTGTCAAAGAACACGAGGGATATATTTATTTAAGAATTGCGAAGAATATCGTTGATAGTAAATTTACCCATTTCGATGAGGATGCATTTGCTGCTTGGAAATTTTGGTCACAATTCACGATGTCGATGCACCGACCTCGCACAATGTTAAGTAGATACCATTACGATTAAAATAATTTTTGCCCATTTTTACACTTACCAACATAAAATGAATAAAATCAAACGCTTTCACAAGGACGCGTAATCTTTCCCGTTAACATTGTTTTGTTGATTCTGTTGCAGCTATAATTGAAATAGCTTCTTCGATTCTTTCATGGTCTTCGATGCTAATGTTTTGGTAATATTGTTGCAGTTACAGTTGGAGGCGCAATGGACGACAGTGGCCTGCGGGCGAACGCGCGACCAACTCGATATGACCCGAGCTGCCCGTCGATTCCTCAGCAGCCACGGTTACCTGCCGCTGCGTCCACGATTTCTGAATTTCTGAGAGCGTTTCCACGGCCGTAGGGATCGTCCCCCGCGGTCGCCCTTCGTGGTACAAAAGAACAAAAATGCGACGCTGAGCTAGTCGTAGTTTAAAACTGTGCGGCGCTTCCGTTTAAGGAATATGGCCTTCTGTGTTTTCTTTCCATCGGGTTATGAATCGATCGGACGGGTTTTAAGGAAGAAGCAAAGATCGGTATAGAAATCTATTAGGAAATTTTAACACAGACTGTACCGCGACACGCTATGCATCGAGGTGTATTCGCATTGTGCGGGTGTGATGACGGATCGGCGCTACGGTCCGATCGATATCGATTGATTGTAAAGTCGTTGAATCTATGTTTTTTACTCGGATATACTCTAATATAAGACTACTTCTTAGGGGCAAGAGAATGGGAGAGAACGTTGTAATTGATTGTACAGAAAAGTATAGCATATTTGATGTCGATCGGATCGCACGCGCGCCGACGCACAGCGTGTATGGTGCAGTCAGATTTCGAAAGAATCACGGTGCAACCGATATTGCATCCAAAAAGAAGAGGAAATGTCGCGTGCTTTCGTTCACATTCACAGTGTGTCCACGTTGGAACGCGGACGAACCACCGAAAACCGAAAGCAAAGCAGAAGACGCTTCTACCTTTTTTTTCTATATGGGTGACAGAGATTTTGCTGTAAGATGCGCGTGCATCATGAAACGAAGAAAAAATGCGTTTTTAATGAGGAAACGCTTTGTTTACGTCGTTGAATATAATTGGTCGCGCTTCGTTAACGAAGAGCAAGCAAATATATTTTGTTGTTAAAACGATGTCAATCTATGTTAAGAAAATCGAGTTTTTTTTCGCGAATCATGAGAACTTTACTCATGATTGTATTATCGACGATTTATCGGAAAGGAAATATTATGGTTGAGAGCGTGTAAGATTAGGGATCAACGATTTACGACTTGGTAGAGCAAAAGTAGACGGTCAACGAAGATAAAAGAATGAATAAGAAACAATAGGGTGTCGATACTGTTTTACCGATACCTTTTTAAAATGACCTACCCCTTGCTTTGCCAAGCGATACCGGGACGTGTCCTCGTTGCACGCACATTTGTAGCACGATCTCTCTTGTCACCCGTGCACAAAAGCACAAGGATGAACGAATGAAATAGTAGCTGGTTTGTTTGATACAATAGTATGTATTATATTATAATATAAAACAAAAGCATTATTGCGGCCGTTATGTACAAAGAGCCTTTGTATCTGGTATTTAATTTACAACTGAATAATAAAGACGTGATGAGAATCACACCAAAAAAGAGACATCGCAGCTCTTGCTCCTTGAATCTGCGTGCCGCGCATCGTCTCACCGTCTTCCTGCAAGATTGGACACCACGGCGACTCGATCCGTGCGATCCGGTAATAATATGCTAACAAAGTGCTAAGACGTTACGTATAGCAGACTTGGACGTGAGTTATTATACGAGAACAGGAAATACGAGAACAAATATCTTTCGAACAGATCCTTGCGTTTCCCTTACCGATAGCTTAAAATTAACGTTTCTTTTAATATCGATACAAATGATCTCAACAATATAATTTCTCTAGTGTTACAAATCTCTCTCGTGATATTACAAATTATTCGCAGAAAGTGACGAATGTTCCGTTTGACTAAAAAATATATTTAAAAAATCTTTCAACCCTTGTGCACGTTCGAGGAAAACCGTGTCAGCTTCGTGAAATACATTTGATCGGTAGATCAAAGAAGTAGAAGATCGGTAGACCTAGAGAAGCTGGGATAACGTTCGTAGTCCAATCTAATCTCGCAGGTTCAGTCCTATTAACACTAAATCTACCGCGGTCAAAAGGTGACCGCTTTCTTATTTTGCAATTCTGCAAAGTTTCGAGACAGTTTCGAGTTGAAAACGGTTGAGGTAAGTTATATTATTAGAGCAAGTTTTATAATAAAATTTGTCACTTTTGTGAAGCAGTACATGCCAGTTAGTATTATTACTGCTTGGTAGGTTTAGCGTTAAACCTGGATGGTGCACAAGGTTCAAAAGTCAAATAAAAAATAGTAATTCAGAGACGTAACAATGATTGCTCGTCGTATCGAATAAATTAGCGTGGAATTACGTAAACATTGTTTCGGTTCGATTAACATGATTCGTTATTTGAGCAATCACCCGGTGTGATCAATTGATTTAAATAATATGTCCAAGTCTGTCGTATAAGTAAGTAACGACGATTCGATTTTCGGCGTACGTCAGCGTGCTGCTCGTTCACGAAACTTGGAATGCCATGGAATGAATAAGAGGTATATAAGTGCTGTGATCACCAACTTGACATTTCTCGACGAACAAGTGGAAAATCCCAACGAGCAAAGCGGTCTTCTGACCAACTCGAACCGTTTTTGAGCTTGCAACACCGCTGTTCAACTCATCTCTTGGGAGTCGAATTACAGGGTTCAATCGTACACACAGAATCATCAAACGGTACAAACTGGACACGAATTATTATCGATATACAACATGAGCGATCCAATGAGCGTCGAGACGTAAGCCCTAAAGGTTCTGTTTCTTGTACGCGTGTTCGTATGCACGCGCTAATGCCACGTAGAAATCAGGATTCTCCACAATAGTGCTTGATAAAATATTTAGTACAGTGCCACTGATTACACTGCAGCCTTTCAATGGTCTGACCTTCGTTACCAATTAATATACTACATTCTTCACGGTCCGACCTCATTTCTCGATCGTTCTATCTTAAACATCGAAACAGTAGAATACTATATCCTCGATTTCTTCGCTATGTAACCATTTGTTTAGTCAGAGGAATGTGTACGATACTCGAGACTCGCTTTAAAGACTAATCAAATTCTACGCTGTAGATCCGTGTAACGCACGCCTAATTTTTTCATTTTATTCAAAAGTTAACAATCCAAAATTGAGCTATCTCCGCTAATGTTTATTGTACAAAACAAGCTAAATTGCCTTATGTAACTAACAAGGGAACTTGGCACGAACCCCTATAGATTTTGATTTCAGAGTATCTCTTGCAAATGCGCGTATTAAAAAAATAACTCGTATCTGTGTTATAAAAGATTTGAAAGTGGGTTTCTTAAAGCTCGACTCGTGAACTGAACGTCTTGAGAATTCAATTGTTTACAGTGAATCGTCAAGAGATATTCCGGTACAGATTTCATCAATCTCGATAGGTAAGTTTGCGCAAGTTTTATAAAGTTAGCATCCTAATAAAGAATTCAAAATTTCGTTTGCAACGCGACAGAACGCGTTAAAAGTGTGCGATTAATTGTCTTCTTATCGAGAAACTAACCGTTTTGTTACAAGAGATACGGTCACAGCTGCTTGGAGTAAGTAGAATCTCTACTTAATTAGAAAAAGAAAAGGTATTTTGCCCAAAAAAAGCGAGATTGAGAAAATGAGGAGGAGTGTTCGAGCACAAAGCGAGTACATGACGAATAAAAATACAAATACGTTAGGACAGAAACACATTGTCACGCTGTTGTAGGCTCGTGATACTCGTTCAAAACTGTGAATGCAAATTTTGACTCTTTATCACTAGACTGCAGACATTTATACAGGTCCAGAAATTCTGTAGACCGATTTAATTTAATCTTATCCGCGTGTTTACATCGTGAAATGATTTTTGCTTATGCGGGGGGACAATGTGTTTATGCGAACCCTGATTATACACACGTCATTAAAGAAATCACATAGATTGCGAATTACTGATAAATTTTCAAAGAATCGTCACACGTCAGGTATCAGGTTTGTTACGTCACCCAACTGTCGTTGATTCTCCCGCGCATTTTGTTACGGAGAGAAAGTATGCTGACACATCGAGAAGACCACGAGTGATCCTTGACTAGATGGCGATCTTTTCGAAAATTGCGCGTTATGATGTAATCCCATTAACGAATAAAAGGCATTCTTATCAATTAATAATCTCATTGTCATTCTACTTCTACGTGTAGCTGCGTAATATAAAATCGGGGAACTATATGCGTAGTGAATAATCATAGAGGAACTCTTAGCTGATTACAACAATAGCTAAAAGGGGATTCGTTTCGAGCTCGTTTCTTTCTTTTTTTTCTTTTGTTCTGACTAGTACTACCGGTACACGTTGGATGGTTGATTAGCATTTGCGAAAAGATTGCATCGAAAGAAAATGGTCACGCATCACGAAGTGTAAGAATCTCTTGTTCGGAACAAAAATGAAAATTATGAACAGCGCGAGAAGAATTTTGGAGCACGGGGAGAGACCATGTGCCGAGTCACCGATAATGAAGAAATACCGCGAACATATCGTATAAATGTTCACTTTGATTTATAGGATTCGAGCAAGCAAAATTCATATTCGTCTCCATCAGGATTAATATATTCGCGCTACGCCTGACGTCGTATCGCGAATATTTAATCGTATTCAACACACGACCTGTAATGAGCAACCGATTTGAATTGGCTACTGCATCTCAGCCTCCTAACAATCTAACTTCTGTAAAAATTCTGAAAACAATCAACAAAGACGTGTAAATTCGCTAAAAACAAGTAAAGAGGTAAACGCATTCTCCTACTGTCTTTTTGAAATTGTCCGGAAGCGACACCTACTCGGGAATGATTTTGTATCATAGTCCCATTTAATACTCGGAGTTCTGACGTTGTGATTTCTCCTCGTCGCCAGTGTTCGTACTGCCACCAGCTGCCTCGTCCAACGTTTCAGGATCTGCTGAAAGTTTCAGAAGCACATTTAGAACTATATATTAGCGGAATGTCAAGCATAGTATGTAATATAATAGTAAATATAATATAAATATAAAATAAATATAATAATATAATAGTAGTAATATAGTAGTAAAAAAAAAAGTTGTTCGATTTACCCGGAGAGGGGGATCCTTTCACTCTGCAGGTATTGTAGCTTCCGCAATTTAAACATTTCAAACCTACAACGTGAAATTTTACTGTCGACTCCTGAAACATTAAAAAAATACGCACGAATGAACTTCTTACTGTTCCGCATTTAAGAACCGCAGATCTTGAAAGTTAATATGCTATACCTCGTGGCAGTCTTTACAGAGAATATCAACTTTGTAATCTTTATATTCTTCTGGCATCGGTGTTAATGACACTTCCATGTCTAAAAATCTCCATAGGTCAGTCATATCTAGAAGAGACACTTGGCAAATGGGGCATGCGTAATGTCCTGAATGTAATAACTCCTCGAAACAAGGGCGGTGCAATAAATGACCACATTCTGGAATGTGACAAGGTATGCGACTTGTGTGAATGTCCTCCAAGCAGACAGGACAATTTGCATGCGAAACATTTTCCACGCACTGAAAATACCAAATCAGCATTACTATTACTATTTTTAAACGCGCCAACTTCTTAGAAGTGTTCGCTCATTGAATACGCATGCTACGTTTCATTCGACTGTTATTTTAATCAAGATTCCCCACGGTAGAGAAGTAAATTGCCACTAAAATGTGCAACCAGTAATACCAGTCGCGCTCCAATAGAGACTGCATATTTGTGTAGAGTAACAATTTGCAGCTACCCGGTCAGACCTTTTTTTCCATTTAATTAGCAAACACTTCCATAATAGCGCACGCTATTTACCGTGTGTCCATTTTGCAATTGAACCGGCAAACACATGTTGCACTTGGCACAGTGGAAAAATCGGGCGCGACCGCCGACCCGGCATATCCCGCAGCCATCGCAGTGGTATTGGTTCCTGTCTTCGTCGTCGAAGAGATTGCATACGAGACACGTGTATTTGCCGAACCGGCAGTGACAGTTCTGGCAAGTGGCTTGTACCGGCTGACGGGTATCGCATAGGACGCATATCAACTCCGTGACTTCCTTTCTGTTTACGGTGTGTGTCTCCCGTTCGTCGTGACAGAATCGACATGTATATACCTTATTGCAACAGGGTGTCTGCAAAAAAAATAAATTACACCAATTTAGTAAATATTAATATTTTTTATTTATATTATATTATATTTATTATTTATATATTTATATAAATATATTTATTATTTATATATTTATATAAATATATTTATTATTTATATATTTATATAAATATATTTATATTTATTATTTATTTATTTATATTATATTTATATTATATTATTATTTATCTTTTATTTATATTTTTTATTAATATTTTTTTTTGAATCGTTTTTCACATTCGAAACCCGAAACAAAAAGCTATTCTATTATTGCTATAATCTGAAACTAAACTTTGGTTTAATCTTTACTTATCAATCTTTGTACTCTTGGATTACATGCTGGCGCATATACGATGTCGCGGAGATACAGTATATTCTCTCAAATTGTCTCGCAGCTTGTAAACAAAAATGGAAAATTATTATATCCAAATTATTCACTGTTGTTTCCAAGCTGAGGGGACAATTAGGAGAATTTACTGTACAAATGTAGAGTTTAAACTTTTCCTTGGGGGTTTCTATTTTTTCGAATGTAATTAAAATAAGTTTTAAATTAATTTATTAAAAAATTATGCACGTCTAAAGTTAACGAATCGTGAGTACGAATGAGTGCGCATCAATATGGCGCGCTAACTTGCCAAAAAAAAAACGCTGAAAATTCAACTTTGGACACGCATAACTTTTTAACAAATGAATTCAGAACTTACATCTTAATTACGTTCCTAAATCCAGAATTTCGATTTTTGTACTTTGGACTAAACTGGAAAGTAAAAAAGAAAAAAAATAGAAACACCCAGGAAAAAGTTTAGGCCAGTCTAGTAGTATAAACAGTTTTTTGCGAATATCTCGAAAATGAAAAAAGAAAGCGTCTGCTATCCGTATAGGAAAAAGTTCGTCAAGATCGCGACCTTGGTAACATATTTCAAGGTCACCGAAAATCAGAGGGTGGCATATTCACCGAAACGTGTCACGGAATTTTCGCGCAGTAATATGTATAAATGCTTTTCAATCGATCTAAAAACGAGCCTTAACGATCCTGGTTCGGAAAACGAAGGCTTCTGATAATAATCCTATTAGACCCCGTATGAATCCGTCCTTGATCCTTAACCGCGTCGTGTCGTAGCAGGCGGTTATAAGCGATCGGCAAATCCGTTCGGCGGGAGCGGTAAACTGACCGTCCACGTGCACCGAACGCAAACATACTACTCTGTCAGTTGCGGTCACTAACTGGACGTCACTCGCACGTGGTTTCGTTTCGTGTTAGTTTACTATTTGAATCAGAAACGATCCCCTGTTCAAACAGTTTCAATTCGTCCGAGAGCACATCGCGCGAGAAAGTTTCTCTTTTATAGTTGACCATCGGTTAAATGTCGTGGCGTCGTAATGTGCGCGCGCGCTCGCACGGAAGTTTTCTCTTGGACCCGTTTTCTGTTAAATGCACGCTGAGAGGCCCATTAGCGGGACCGCGTCCAAAAATACATCGATACGGCGAGATCTCTCTTGTTCAACGTCGGTAGACAATAGTTGTTAACACGTCCGCGCTCGGAATCTATTTCGGATAGCTTTCCGTTTCCACGTCAATTGTACGAGCTAACAAATCGCGCGCCGCGGCGATACGTCCCGAGCGGTTTTTCAATATTTGACGAAAAAACGTGCTCGTAACATGTGCTTCCCTTGTACGATCCACCTACGTAATCGGTGGCTCCTTCAAATCGCAAGCTTATCTCGTTTATTCACGGCACGATGTTTCTCTCCGGGCAATATTTGTGGAACAAAGATTTCCATAGTCTTATCTCTCTCTCTCTCCACTCCCGGGTAAACAATGTACACCGGCGTAAGCAGGTGAGAAGTCGAAATCAGGCGGGCGGCGCATGCGCCGTGACGCGGAGAAGAACTTCGACGAACGGAAACGTAATTATCGGAACGGAGGAGTTTTTATTATTCCACTGTTCTTTCTCGATCGACGATCTTCCCTCAATGTTTCCCGATATTCCGTCTCCCCCTTAAAAATCATTTACATATAATGTACTACTTTCTCATGGTATACGTGCTTTTTCCACCCGGATGAAGCCGAACCACTGATCGGCTACGCGAGCAGCATACGACATTTGACTTATCGCGGCAATTGGTAAGCAACACTTCGAAAGAGGGCGTCTCGTTACACAACACGACGAAACATCATCGATTTGTTTGCCATGTACACATGCGGCACGCATACAAGCGCGACCTGGTACTCTGTGTGTTCCTCCCGATACATTTTCGCCCTAGACGAAACGTGTGTGCGTGCGTGCGACGGAGAGAAGATTCCCTTTCCTAGATGCGCAAGAAAAATGCGCGTCAAATCCCGCTGACATCAGTCATCTCACGATACAAGCTGTCGCGCACGACCGATACCCAGCACAAATTGACAACCGACACACCGCAGTCCGTTCACGGTTTATACAGAGCACCACCTATTTTTCTTCGGGAACAATGTTTTCGAATCGCACGCCTCTAATCAATAATTACCCGGTATCTCGTTTGAAACGTAGCCGTGCTCGCGATGCGGTAACCGGACTGCGGATATTCATGCGGATCCAAAATTTTCGTTGTCAATTTCTTAAAGTATCTGAAGCATTTAATATTTAATAATATTAATATTATTATTAAATTATTATAATATTATAATATTATTTATCGATAAAAGCTAAGCGCGCTAATTTTTCTTCGGTTTCATTTTTAAACGGATCATTTTATCGATAAATAATATTATAATAATATTATAATATTTTTTAAAAGCTAAGTGCGCTAATTTTTCTTCGGTTTCATTTTTAAACGGATCATTTTATCGATAAATAATATTATAATAATATTATAATATTTTTTAAAAGCTAAGTGCGCTAATTTTTCTTCGGTTTCATTTTTAAACGGATCATTTTATCGATAAAAAGAAATATAAATCGGGGGGGGGGAGCTTAGTTTTTTTTTTTAAATTCTTCGTATATATATATAATTGTTCAGAACCGTTGCACCGATCGCGACGAGCGTTTAGTATGTTATAAAGGACGATGTTCTAAACAACTTTTTCCTTTTTCAAGATATTAGGGGAAAAAACCGTTGCGGTTTAGTAACCGTCGGTCACTGCGACATATATGTATATATGTATGCGGGAACAGAAGATGACCGACGGCCGTAGCCTCGCGAAACAATACCGTAGGGAAATAAGCGCATTTAGGGCAATGTCGGTAAACTGTAAATTCGCCGATTTTTGACTTTGTAATAGCGTAGAATTTTTTGCAAGTAGTTTTTTATTATTATTATTTCGTCTGGAAACGAAATAACACGCGTTTCGCGTTAGGACGGAACGAATCAACTTCTCGCTGTACGATCATAAACATGCGACACGTTTCTATGTTTACGTACGATACAAAAAAAAAAGAAGCACGCCCACGGGCGATTTCGGAATCAGCTGTTAATTGCGAAACCGCTACGTCATTTATTGTATCGATTACCCAGCAAGTTCAAGGATAGCCGCGGAAGTGTCGGACTTCGTATTATATCAACTATAACAATCGAATTAATTTAATTGTCCTCTGTACGGTATTTATATGTTAATTGAATTTTAACGGAGCTTCGCATTTTCTGATTATAATATATTTTCCGCATAAATTTATCATAAACGCGATGTACGAAAATAGTATATATGTATATATGTATTTATTATTTTCGTACATTGCGTTTATGATAAATTTATACAGAAAATATATTATATTATATATTTATTATATTTATATATTACATATTTATTTATTATATATATTATAATATATATATATATGTATATATGTATTTACTATTCTCGTACATTGCGTTTATGATAAATTTATACGGAAAATATATTATAATCAGAAAATGCGAAGCTGTGTATATATAAATTTGTAATTATTATATGTGTAATATATAAATATAATAAATATATAATATAATATATTTTCTGTATAAATTTATCATAAACGCGATGTACGAAAATAGTATATATGTATATATGTATTTACTATTCTCGTACATTGCGTTTATGATAAATTTATACGGAAAATATATTATAATCAGAAAATGCGAAGCTGTGTATATATAAATTTGTAATTATTATATGTGTAATATATAAATATAATAAATATATAATATAATATATTTTCTGTATAAATTTATCATAAACGCGATGTACGAAAATAGTATATATGTATATATGTATTTACTATTCTCGTACATTGCGTTTATGATAAATTTATACGGAAAATATATTATAATCAGAAAATGCGAAGCTGTGTATATATAAATTTGTAATTATTATATGTGTAATATATAAATATAATAAATATATAATATAATATATTTTCTGTATAAATTTATCATAAACGCGATGTACGAAAATAGTATATATGTATATATGTATTTACTATTCTCGTACATTGCGTTTATGATAAATTTATACGGAAAATATATTATAATCAGAAAATGCGAAGCTGTGTATATATAAATTTGTAATTATTATATGTGTAATATATAAATATAATAAATATATAATATAATATATTTTCTGTATAAATTTATCATAAACGCGATGTACGAAAATAGTATATATGTATATATGTATTTGTACTTTCTTCGTTACGCTAAATAAATAATCGTAGAGAGTCACCCGGCTCTATCGTTCGATAATATAACCTCGAACGGGCTGTTTCCTCAAGGAATCCACGAAAATTCTTGTCCTCATCAATCCAGAAGCGGCGTAACGCGAATTAATGATATAATTAACCCTCAATTGGAGGCGTGCGTCACTTACGCAGCAATTTAGAAGGCAAATTAATCGTTTTACATAAAGAGCATCGATTAACTCTCGTTACGTTCTATCTGTCGTAATCGATGGAAAAATTCATTGAAAATTTTGGACGGAGCATATGCACATACACACATACATACAACATACACATATCTATACGAATCAGTGATGTCATGTAAAGCCGCGAGAGAGCTTAACAAGATCGAAGTTGGGGTCTTCCCGACCTACGTTTCGAAAACCGTGTGCAAAAGAAATCCTTGCGGGAAAGATCAAAGAAACCGTATCAACGTAGGAATAGGACTGTTATCGTCAACGGTAAATTACACCGTTCGATTTGAAATCGCGAATCAACTTCCGGAAAATACTTCGAGATACAAGATGGATATCCGTTCGGTATACAGATTATAAAAAACCGAAACTTTCGTTTGAGACACGGCTCGATTTCAACCATACAACGGCCCGTTAGTTCGTACGATATTGGAAAGACTTTTGTTCGAAATTCCGCTCGGCTTCGAAGAGGAGCTGACCGAGAAATGAGGCGGGTGAAACCGCGGCCGAGCGATCATCGGGGAGCCGCGTGATCGAGATGTCGAATGCGGAGCGTGGCTGATTACATACATGCCGACCGTTAACGTTAGAAAGGCGCCGAAGCAGCGGGAAGAGACTCACCACGAACTTGGACTTTCGCTTGTAGTGCTTGCAGCCGTAATCGTGGCCGGCCGACTCGTCGGCAGACGGTTCCTCCTTGGACGTGGACGCGCGTTCACCGACGACGGTCCGCGCTTCGTCGTTATTCTCCATCCTGTCGTGTTGATCCCGAAATTCCTGCCTCTTTCTCCTCCGCCGTCTCCTTTTTCCCATCGACTCACACGTCCTTTCCAGATTTTCTAGCCGCGTGCCCGATTTATACCGCCGGTACACAGTTTGTTTGTTTAATTAACACGCTGGCGACGATTCGAACCGGAGATGGCGAAACAAAAAAAAAAGAAAAAAACAGGAGGCAAGAGAGCACACGTTCGAAACACGCGGCCGTCCGCTCTTTATTCTTCCAGCCGCCCGGGCTTACCCGGAGCGAGCACGAACCGGACCCGTCAACCCGAGCCGAGGAAAAATCGTTGCGACCACGTCGGGCCGTTCGCGGGCGAAACATTTCGTCGAGCCATCACCGATATTCCGCGTATGCATACGTGATTCGGAAACGTCGCGAAGGATTAGCGGACGGGATCTCTCGCTACGGTCGGGTTTCAATCGCGGCACACTCTTCCTCTCTCTCGCTCGCTCTCTCTTTTCCTGTCTCCCTCTCTCGCCGAGCGCATAGCTGTTCAATACACGAAAGTAAAGCGTTCGATGGCTACGCGTTCCCCGACCGTCCGTGAAAATCGGCGCCTCGTCACACAAGTAGAAGCGTTGCACGAGAATTTCTCGGAATACCGATCGACACTCGACACTTCTGACACCACTTGGCTTCGCCGTACTGTCACCACGGTGTAATGATTACAACGGCAGACGATGTTCCGAAAAAGAGATGCAAAACCACGACCGGAAGTTCTACCGACTACTCGAAGTACTACGCCGCAGCCGCCGTGCGCGCGTCCGGCCCGCGAACATTCGAATCCCCTCCGCTGCGTACGACGTGTGCGCAACGGAATTTTTGCCTCGACTGACTCGAATCCGTCGTTGAGCTGGTTTACATTCGTTATTTTGCTTCGATGCGCGAACTGTCGTAATGCTCGAATACGGAACGTTTCGTGACGAAGGAGTGACGTATTTGTTAACGTTTTTTGTTATTTTTCTGCAACGAGTTTACTGTAGAGACGCGACCGAACGTGATTCAGCATTAATTTGTCTTTAGATACAGTCATCTAAACCACTGGAAAATTTTCTTTATGTTCCGATGTTGTATTTTCTCGAATATGTAATATATAATATGTACATAATTTCTGCGCTTGCGTGTTGCACATGGTTGTACAAATACGAAAAAGTATAAGAATGTTCGGTTCTGAATAAATTTCTCTTCGCAAAATTGTCTACGTTTCTCAAAAAGAGATTCGAAATTGCCACGCGTTCCAACATTCTCATCTACGCCTCGACGTCTCTCCGCCTTTTTGTAAAAGCGGCAACACCGTCTCGAAATTGTCGAGCACAATGATGGCGGTCCGCCACAAGTGTAACAGTTACTAGAGAATTGTCGCGCGTAATTCAAACTATAATATTTCAGATTAGTACATTTTCTCTTTTTTTATAAATTCCTATAGTACTTTAATATATATTATTTATTATTTTCATTGTATTCCACGGAATTACTTTAATTATTTAAGACAACTCGACTATTGCACAACGCTTCGAACAGTACATTGAAACCGAATAAAAGCACGATGATTTTTATTGCTTGACATTCTTTAAACTCGAATTGGAAAGGTAAAATGTTGCGCTGGAATTTAAAGTATTTAAAGTATTTTCGTATTTCAAATCTCGTTTCAATCTCTATTGGCAGCAATGCGCGAATGACAGCGCTATTGCAGCTAAGATCGGACGATCGGGCCAGCAGCAGTGTGCAAGAAATTTCGCGTTCATGCAGTGGCCACCTGTCGCTGGTAGCACTGTGATAGGTAGCGAGGTGTGATAGTAAATGATGGGTGTCAAACCCTGAGACGAAGTCTGATCGTGAAGTTTGATTGACCGATCGTTAAACGGGTCGTGGCGTCCGTGCGTTGTATTGGGTGATATCGAAAGTGTTTTACGTACAGTGCCAAATATACGTTCATCTCAATGTTGAAATGAAGCAGAACTGCGTCATGTATGACGAACCAGGGAACCTATGCGATAGGCACACGCAGTTCGCCCCGCACGGGCTCTGCAATCCGTCGGATTAATGATCAATGGCTTTATTCGAGAAACGATACACGAATAAAGTGCTGCTAGATGATACAGAGAAGCTGTCGAGCATCATTGAAAATGCAAGAACAATCGACGGTCACACGGTACGGCGCACGCTTAGCTTTGTATATACATACTACGTCTGACAATTGCTCGATAATAGGCGACGTTTACGCACGTCAAGGATTAGCCGTAATGTCGTATCATTGAATCAAGTGACAAGTCACATGAGCTGTCAACATTCTCGATCTTTCCTTTTTGCTTCCTCGTCGATTACACTTTTACTCCTTCCTGGATTGAGATTTGCATTTCTCCGGTATCGTACATCATTGCGCAGGTATTGGCGCATTTACGAAGATCCTTGTTTTCAATGTCTCCAGAAAATAATGTGCAATGCAGGATTGTTTATAAAATTCGTGTCACGTCGACTTTTAATCATGATATTCATGAGTCATAATTAATATAAATATTCGCAGGTATTAATGTGAATGGAGCAACTGATACTCGATTAGATAATCGAGCATACAGTCGTAATAGAAAGTGAATTACAACTTAAATTCACGCTAATATGAGTTTGTATTTTATTGTGCAAGAGGCTCCAGGTCCAAGTAAATTAATTTTTGTTTTGTCAGCAAAGTAACGTTTTTTTTTCGAAAGTCCACAGAATATTTTTGTACATATAGAAAATATTATGCAGAAAATATATATATCGTGATAAAAATGGCTATAATGTTTGTTGCACGATTTAGGAGTATGTGATCAAAACACAAAGAGGTCCACTACCAGAAAAATTTTGGAGAGTCAACAGACGTTACAATGACTTTGTACAGCTCAACGCAGCTTTGTCAATATCAGGCATTGACCTGTTTCTTCCTCCAAAGAAAATCATTGGTAATATGGAACCAGACTTCATAGCTCAGCGTCAAGTAGCACTACAGGTTAGTTGAAAGATATAATAATAAATAAACAAGCAGTAAGAGATAGCAGGTTATAAATTTCTATTTTTTAACAATTCCAGAATTTTCTAAACACAATACTAATGAATCCCATATTGGCATCGTCGCTTCCTATGAAAAAATTTTTAGATCCAGATAATTATACAGCACCATTACATGGTATGATATAACTCCAATAATCAACAAACAACACATGTCGAAGTGTTGTTTATGTATCGGTTCTGTTAAGGAAATTCACACGTAGGACATTTCCTCTAACTGATTAACGATGATTTTCAGAAATAGCTCTGCAACAGGTGTCACTAGCTCTACGCAGTGATGCAAATTACGAAGTTTGTAAGGCCATTCCTGATATGGGATGGCGGTTGAGAAAGCATTATTACACGGTGAAAAATCGTCAGAATCCCAAGCAAGAATTGCTACTCGCATGGGTGGAATTTGGTCCAGATAAACACTTGCAAGACAAGGATATGCAAGGTGTTTTCAAAAGTTTAGGCACCCTAAAACATAATTATATAGAACCAATTGTTTACCAACATGTGACGGAGAACGGAGCTTTAATGATAAGAACATTTTATCAGACGGGTACATTGCGTGACACTTTATGTGTAACTAAACCAAAACAACCGTTCATAAAGAAGTATGGAAATCCAAAACAAATCAAATCTTTAACAGTGCCTGAAATTGCAATGTATGGTTATCAGGTTGGTTAAAGCGTCCCTGTATCATGATAACTAACTTACATGGTCTAGCGCTAAATGATTTCTTAATGTTTTCTTAGATTTTGGAAGCTTTAGGATTTCTCCATGAGAAAGGTCTACCTTACGGGCACTTACACACGGGCAATATTCTTCTAACTCAAAGATGTGCAAAATTATTAGACATAGAAAATGGTCTATTAGGTTTGCCTGCATTTTATCGGCCCTACGTTGTACAAAGGCGTAAACTTCACGCTACGGTACAGCAGAAGTTACTTATAGTATATAGGGTGATCACTAATTGATGATACAACCAAAAGAAGAGACACGCTACATGCAAAAACAAGTCGAAAGGAAGAGAATATTTTTTCATTTAAGGCTGCGTTATCAAGAAAAATGAGTTTGATAATTCGTCAAGTGGAGCATTGCTTATATATAAGTGTAGAAGTATAATTGGTGTGCCATGATCAGACGCGTTAATTCATTCCTATTCAAGAGTATCATTTTTCAAACTAATTCTTTTTTGGAAAACGAAGCCTTAAATGAAAAAATATTATTCTACATTTTTATCTTATTTTTGTACGTAGAATTACCCCCTACCCGGTTGTACCATCAGCTACTGACCACCCTGTACATTGAATCATTTCCAACAGACTCAAGTGGACGTTTACTCGTTTGGGCATGTGCTGTATGAAATGGCATTTGGAAGACCTCTTTTGGAGGCCACGTGCTCCGAATTGCCATACTGCGAGGCGAAACTGAAGAATCTGCTCGAAGTGATTTTGTCACCAGAAGATTTGAAACAAGATTTACCAACGATACCACATTTACTGGACCACCCGTTTTTCGAATCAGCCAAACGCGCCGCTCTAGCTATTGGATCCGTGGAAAGACCACACTTTAAGTTAAGTAGTCATTTAAAGGAAGCTCTCCATGAAGCGGTGAACAAAGCAGAGCAAAGACTGAAAGACGAACAAAAAGTTGCTAGACAGCAAAAAAGACTTGTGAAAGTGCAAGAGATGATGAGTTCAGAAGAAGAGATGAAGAAACGAAAACAAAAATTGGTAAATACATCTTATGAATAATACAATGTAGTAACATGAATAACATCGATCTTTCGCATTGCACAGAAAAAGGAACAAAAATTGGCACAGGAGCAACGTTTTGGTAATCAGTTAAGTACAAACGGTTTGAAGCAAGTGAACGGCAAGAGTCCAGAACGTTCAGACAGTCCCACAAGCACTTCCACGGCCACCAGTGTTGGAACTTTGACTCCACCTTCCTTGCGTGAGTATCAGGCTACCTGAGAATCGACTTTGTTAATAACTAACATTAATCTAACAAAATTTTTACATTAGCTGGACACAAAAGTTGATGGCGCATACTACGCTTATTTCTCTCACGTAGGTCATATCATCATTCATTAATCACCGATTAATAAGCATTCATGCATCTTCTCATTTGACCATTGCTTGGATACATCTTCAATGAAGTATGTTCTCTGATTGTGACTTCTTATACGTTATATCGTAGAGTTTTCTTTTCATCCTTTTCGGGTATGTGTGCTCCTCTTCGATAGTCGCTAGCTGTAGATGCAAATGAGTTGGAAACAATTGATGAACGTTAATGTAGCGGGTGTCCAAGCGATGTTGCACCGGCATGGCGAATATCGCTCTGAATTTAATCGAAGATTTTGTTAATGTGCCACAAGGTGATGCAGCCTCTCCGAAGGGTTCAATCCCTCCGCCTCCGATGCCACCACCCAATGGCGTAGCCGACAATGCCCCGAAGGTGACCAACGAGCGAGCTGCTTTGCTCGGGAGTATTTGTAATTTCAACAAAACTAGTCTTCGCAAAATTGCGAACGGGCCCCGTTGAGCCGATAAGTTAAAGAACAAATGGAGAATTGATAAACAACTTCGTTGTAATGGGAACCGTAATTCGTACTACAGGCGTGCTATTTTTCTTCGTCGAACAGTTAGACGCGACTTATCAATCTTTATTTTGATCTCGAGGATCGTAGCAACCAAATTTTTTAGGATTTTTAAAGACGTTCGCTGTAATGGCAAACAATAATGAATAATATTACAAAATTCCTCTATTTATATGTACATGGCGTGGCGAGAACAATTACTATCTTAATATCTTCAACATTATAAGACCAGAGGCAACAGGTTCGTTGCACGAACATGGTTTCTTGTAAGAGCATATACATTATATTGCTCTTAGAATTTTGAAGATATTAGTGTACATATTAGATATTATTTTACCTCTTATAACGACAGCACGACGCATTGATAGAAGTGGCCGATGTTTAGATCTATTTCGCTGCTAATTTTATTTTTTTGGAGCACCGTCCATAATCGGATTTGTAATTATACATAGAAAAAAGAAAAATGATCTAAAGTATGGCGAGATTGTAAGAAGGTGATCTTTTATAAATCGTGATCGTGTACGTGTAATCGAACAGAGTAGTTGGGCAAATCAATGTATTTAAGTAGAAAATTATTTTCCCCTCAATTCTCTGTTACATTTAAGAAGAAAAACAAATTTATTAATAACTAGTAAATTTTATTCGTGTAACAAGTTTCGCATTCGCTATAACAGGTGAACGCATAATAGAAAAAAGAAAACAATAACGATTGTATAATATTGGTTGTTCTAGAAGTTATTTTCTCGCGGTCCAAGTTTCGTAATCATCATTTTTTAATGGCTTCGTTTCATCGTGGGTTCTTAAAAAGTAATTAAAAAAAGATCAGGAATAATGATGTTTAATTAGAGCGATAGCAACCGTGTTTGTCGCGTAAAATTCATCTCGTTATTGTTATCGTACTGTTTCGTCTATTCAAAGTTTATGTGCGTCGTATTAATGTACAGTTCGATTGACAGATTTTCTGCGAATCTCGTTCGTACGTGAATATATTGTATGTTGCTTTCGTTGTGTCGGTCGTAGATTCGGAACCGTTCGTTTCTACGAGAAGAGCAAATGTGCCAATGGGGGAATGTATGCAAAACCTTTCTGTCGAATAGGTATGCATGGTGACAAGCAACTGTAACTAATCTCTAAATGTCACAAGAAAAAAAAGGTACATTTATATAGATATATAAATTCAATATATCTGTATAAATATATTATATACATATATAAATATATTATATACATATATAAATATATTATATAGATATATAAATATATTATATAGATATATAAATATATTATATAGATATATAAATATATACATGTATATGTGTGAGATATATCTGTGAATAATCGTCATGGAAACCATGTAATATAGACGCGCGATTTTCATACGTGACGTTGATTTTTAAATGTGACTTCGCTGATTTTTTTCCCGTACAAATGCTATACTTCATAGAGTAATATAAATATTTGTTTCATCGAGAATTGTGAAAATCAGAATAAAGCGAGATCTATATTTATCAAGTAAGAGAAAAAAATCACGACTCGTGTGTAACTTTAGTAGCAACGAAAAATCGTCGACTAATTAAATCGCGATATATCTCGTCTGCAGAAAATAAAACTCGCTCGATCGTCCCGTTACAGCGTGTAATAATGCGTATCCCCAGAAATATGAAAAACGTTTTATTAGAATGGAAATAATTGCGTCGAGAGAAGTATCACATTACACTTTTAAAAATACATCTTACTCCGTAACAAATTCCAAACGCAGAAAGATAGCTTTCATTGTAGGAGATATTTTACTACTCGCTACAAAAAGTTTAATAAATACGAGACAATGCATATCTTTGCAGTATTTTTATCATTCGAAGGATCTTTAATACTATATTGTAAATTCTCAATATATAAAAAATATATGTGTCTGAATATCGCTGTTTAAATGTGTGATTGTAACCGTGAGCAGTACAACTGGTCTCGTTTTGTGCGCGTGCAATCAGTTACACGGCTCGTTTTCGAAGGCACTCGAATTAGTTTGATTCCGAGGAAACTACTTTTCCGCGGACGTGCGTCTTGTATATTCAGAACGGTATTTCCTTTCTTCGTGTATAATCGTATTTCGTGTTCACGCGCATCNTAAATATATTATATAGATATATAAATATATACATGTATATGTGTGAGATATATCTGTGAATAATCGTCATGGAAACCATGTAATATAGACGCGCGATTTTCATACGTGACGTTGATTTTTAAATGTGACTTCGCTGATTTTTTTCCCGTACAAATGCTATACTTCATAGAGTAATATAAATATTTGTTTCATCGAGAATTGTGAAAATCAGAATAAAGCGAGATCTATATTTATCAAGTAAGAGAAAAAAATCACGACTCGTGTGTAACTTTAGTAGCAACGAAAAATCGTCGACTAATTAAATCGCGATATATCTCGTCTGCAGAAAATAAAACTCGCTCGATCGTCCCGTTACAGCGTGTAATAATGCGTATCCCCAGAAATATGAAAAACGTTTTATTAGAATGGAAATAATTGCGTCGAGAGAAGTATCACATTACACTTTTAAAAATACATCTTACTCCGTAACAAATTCCAAACGCAGAAAGATAGCTTTCATTGTAGGAGATATTTTACTACTCGCTACAAAAAGTTTAATAAATACGAGACAATGCATATCTTTGCAGTATTTTTATCATTCGAAGGATCTTTAATACTATATTGTAAATTCTCAATATATAAAAAATATATGTGTCTGAATATCGCTGTTTAAATGTGTGATTGTAACCGTGAGCAGTACAACTGGTCTCGTTTTGTGCGCGTGCAATCAGTTACACGGCTCGTTTTCGAAGGCACTCGAATTAGTTTGATTCCGAGGAAACTACTTTTCCGCGGACGTGCGTCTTGTATATTCAGAACGGTATTTCCTTTCTTCGTGTATAATCGTATTTCGTGTTCACGCGCATCGATACAAAATTATTCATCTTTCCTCATCTCCGTTCTTCGTTCGGTAGTACAATACATAAAAACGAATACGGCGAACGCATAAAATTGTGTTACGCAGTCGTTGTTTCCACAGTCGTTGAAGTAAGCGTACGAGGAGACCAGAGCTAGCTATCGTACAACACAACGGCGAAGTTTTTCACATTACGTGTTCAGGAGCTTTTGTAATTTATGATTCGATTTTAAAAAATATCTTCTATTCACAATCTGCGCGAGTCTTTATGTAACATGGTTAGTCCTATGTACACATATGTAATGTATATACAACGCTATCCACGCAATTCTGTCACCATGAGAACGTATATGGCATTCTTGATTAAGTCGGCAGGACTTGCATTTAACACGTTGACTGACGAACACCGGTGAACGTAACAAAGCCAAAGGATTTCAGTATTTAGCAAAATAGATATCAAAAGTGGAAATTTATAAAGATCGGTTTACGCTTTATACATTCTTACGTTCTAACCGAATTTGGCGCGCTCGCTTCATCACAGTAAAAAGATTCTCAAGTTTTTACATCTGCACGAATAATTCGCGTCGCCGGCGTATTAGACGACGCGGCAGTCAACGTGTAAAACCAACAGCCGAATCCAACTGTCATGAGCGTAGCTTGTTTTTTTTTCTTTTTCTGAAGAGTTTAACACTGCTGTCCCAGTCTCTGTGTATTATATTGCACATCTACACAAGTATTATTAAACTGTCGTCCATAGGTGATCCCTCTCATTAAAAATCCCAGCACGTATACCACCTACGGTCATTATTGTCATTAATTCGATTGTTATCGTTATCTTCTCTTTTGTTAAATTAGAGCTAATCGGGGTCGCAATCTGATGGCCCCAAGCGATCATCATAACTTCTCATGAAGTTTCTCGGTCACCGTCTTCAATCTACAAAACAAATGAATGTTCTTATCTAATAAATTCACGTCTTCGCGACTCGTCTCGACTCAACAAAAGAGAAATCAATTACCGTTGAAGCTCCTCTTGGATTCGATCTATAATCGCTTTTCTAGTTTCCAACACGCTCGCTTTCGACGCGCGCAGCTTTTCCATCAGATCGCTAAAATCTATGGGGTCGCCGTAGTTCATGGTGACCCTGTTACCCATTCGTAGCCAATACGGCGGTTCGTTCGGAAGGACATCGTCCATGCCGAGGTGGCAGATCGGAATTACTAGGGGTGTAACAGGTGATTCCATTATTAACCTTCCCACGCCCCACTTTAATCTACAAAACGTATCGAAATGAAACAATAAAGAAACGCAAATCGTTTACGCACACATTGCTATCAAATTGACGGGAAAATAAATGGCCGATCAACTTACTAACACATAAGCAGTACAACGAAATATTTCTCGGGGGGGGGGGGGAGGGAAACTTTCGGAACAATACCGTTTGGTCTGTCATTTATTGTCGGTCAATTTAATAGACTCGGGAGTATTGAACCTCATGTCCTCCTTGAGCATGTTGACTTTTCCCTCGGGGAAAACGTGCAGCCAGTCCCCGGAGGCGAGCTTCTCCACGCAGAAGTCCATAGCTTCCTGATATATTCCGCCGCCCCTGATCACAGGAATACACCTGCCCAGCATAAAGAAGTAGGAATGCCAGGTATTCGTGAAACAAATGTCGTGCGCGGCGAGCGACCATCTCATCTTACGTCGACTCAGGAGATGCCTCAGGTCCAGGGTCGCTAAATGAGTTCAGAGATTTTTCTGTCTTAAATTCTTTCATTCGATCGCGTATCGACGTCAGTCTGAGAAAGAAAAGATTACATATGTCTCAGGAAAGGGGAACGTGACAGCGTGACAGCCTTAACCCATTGACTGCCAGAGCTACGAGATATCTCGTAGTGGGTGCTGCAAGTTTAGATTGAACTATTTTATCTATTAGAAAGGATGAATGAAAAATGTATACAAGATGTCCCGAAAATGTCTCGAAATTTGAAAGTGGCGGGTTCCTCGGGTCATTCGAAGCAACTTTTTCCTTTACACAAATTTTCTCCGAGGCATCGTTGACGAGTTATTAACGAAGAACAGTGACCAATGAGAGGCGAGCTCGGCTGGCGCGTGGCGACCGAGCCAATGAGCGGAACTGGGCTTCGCGCGCTGGTTGGCCGGGCCGCCTCGCGTCAGCCGTACTCGATTCTTATTGGCCACTGTTTTTCGTTAATAACTCGTTAACGATGCCTCGGAGAACATTTTTGTAAAGGAAGAAGTTGCTTCAAATGATCCGAGGAACCCATTTCCGGATTGCGAGACGTTTTTGGGCACCCTGTATAGTGTAGAGAACATATTATCAATACAAAAAATACTGTAAATGCCATTGCAAAATAATATATCGGTAACTTAATATAATTATATTTTGTAAAACTTCATGTTTTCTTTGAAATAAAACCGTGGCACCCAGGGCAAGACGCGCTAAATTTGCGCGGCAGTCAACGGGTTAATTCGAACAGTAAAACGAAGAGAGGCTTGTTTCTCGATATTTTTACATTTACCGAATAGCTAGAGCAGGGGCCCTTGACTGCGCACCGTATTTTCCACTTCCGTTCTCCGATAGACAGTCGACCGTCCAGTTCGACAGAGAACTTCGTTTCAAAAATAAACGGCTTTTTGCAAGGTTACGATATACATATAAGATTGCATTGGATGAATATTCATTAACGCTAAATTTACCGCGAGCGGTAAAGATGTGGTGCATTGCATCGTGCGGAATCGGATGATCCAGTTCGTTTAGATTTTCTGTAGTTTTTATTGTACAAGCTGCTTCGATAAGTAGATAATTTATTCAATTATTTTCCATGATAGTCTCTTTGTAATTTTTTTTTTTGCCTACCGGAAACATTACAATGCTAAAACGACTCTGCTGTATCGGTGGCAAAATTTTCTTTTCAGATAATAATACAAAATAAAACTGTTTAGATCGCGTTATACTGTACTTTTTTTGGCGATTTACGACTGAAAAAAATTATTGTCAAAAAATTTAGCAAGAAAGCCTTGGTTGTACATTAAATGAGCAAAGCTGTTTTTAGATAATAGACTTTTTCTTTCACGTTAATACTATACTTCGGGGGTTTTGGTAATTTGTTTAAACAAAAGCGATAAATCGGCGGGATAAGCAAATCTAGCTTCTGGTGACCCCGAGGAATCGCCAATTCTGAATAAACTTATCGTAAAATATTCCGAAAGCAAAAAGGGAGAATTACAATAATTTTATGCTAAAAGAAAAGTGCGAATGCTCGACGAACACCCGATATATATATTCTTAGACCGCAGAGCTAAGATGTTATCGATCTTCTCGGGTTACAAGAAACGTGTGTCGTTTTTTATTAACGCTCAGGAAAACACAGTGGCATTCAAAGATCCTTTTACACAATTGCTTTGTTTTTGAACATTGTACAACGGAGATCGATCCGGATCGATGGAACAGTGTCGTGTGCTAAGCGAAGAATAATCGATTATAATATAGGCGTAGAGGAATTCCATTTACTATGGCTGCTGGCGAGCTTTTGCCAACACACAAGGGCACAACGCCTCCTAACGATTAGCACTGTTGCCGAAGCCACGCCTTTTAGCAAAGGACAAAACCGGATGTAACGGTTCCGAGGATTTCAAGGGCGCCTCAAGGTCAATGCATTGTACACAATTGAATATCCTTCGGTTCTGGGACGCTCGATTGTTGTCTCGAAGAAATACCCGTCGACACAATGGTCGAATCATTAGAACCGCTTGCATAAATTAACGCTATGCCGTCCGGTGCCATTTTAAAAAACTGAAATAACATTTGGACTATATTTCTCGGGTGTTAAAAGGCGGCGAACTAACTATAGCATTGTGCTTGTTCAACTAAGAATTAAGTACGAAAATTCTTGGACGACGTATCTTAATTTTAGGAATTTATATTACCGCCATCTTCGAAATTTTTTTGTTAAAATCTAACATTTCCAAGCTATTACACTGGCGTCAAACAAAAGAATCGTATCTAAGATCTGCGAACGGCATAGTGTTAATATAACATTGAAAGATTAAGCAAATCTAGCTAAAAGTATATTCGTGAAAATATATTTCCGTCCATAAAAATATATTTGTGTATATTAGTTCCAACAATGTGAACGTTCATTGTAATCGCGAAGCGTTTACTATAAAAGGAGCGTGAACCAAAAGGGGTTGAGAAGCCGAAGAAAATTGCTGACAGATCGAGCCATATTACTTTTTCAATTGACTCGCACCGCTTCTGAATTAAACGGTTCGCGGATTTATCGAGCTTCCGCATCGGCGCTCTAACGCTGGGAGGCCTGGCATAAATGGAGTTCCACTGTGTAATCTCGTCGTAACGCCGGATAGAACTTACCCCAGATGCCTGGATCGTCGAAGCAACTGTGATGGTTCGAAATGGTGATGAGAGGAACATTTTTCGGCCGGCAGTCTAGCGCCCGTGTCATAATATGCTTGTTGTACACCGTCGCTTTGTTTAGCCATTCTTAAACAGCACGAATAGAAAACAAACGCTTCGGTAAATTAACTCGCATTTCCAGGAACAGAGGGCTGCGACGCATAGGTATCGAAGCATGGGACGCGTTCAACACGTTGAATGCCACCGGGGGTCACCGGTGAGCGGCACTTCAACTTGGCGGTGACGTCATGGGGGCCACCGGTGACCGGCGCGCCCAAATTGATAGGAATATATATATATATATA